AGACGCCAGAAAAATAGCGAAAATAGCCAACAACGCTCCTCCTGTTTTTCCCCCGGCCAAATGGAACGCTTCTTGTTCGTCTAGATGTGTGCAAAGTCTACACAATGCTCGCCAGAGCAATACAAACAGTTTGGCATACTTCATACACCTGTAGATCAACAGGGCGCCGAGATACAAAAGTTGGGGGCCGGTTGGGGATAGGGGGGTATCTGGAGTCTTCCCAATGCTTCTTCAGGTCCACATCGACGGCATATCAAAGGATCCACGCTGCCGATGGCATCATCTCTGGACCACCTTCATGCACCGCTATGATGATGTCCACTCAGCAGTAAGCCCAGTTTTTGCGGCGGCACAGGCACAGAATACTGCATGGATTCCATTCAAACGCCACCTTTCAGATCCTTTATAACTTCCCAGGACCGCGCTATGCAGATCCGGTTGGTTTTTGGGAAAACCAATTTCCTGGACAAAGCTCGACTAGCGGTTCTGCACTGTTAGCGGGGGGGGACCAAATTTTCCGCGTGATACGCCCCTATAACAAAATAAAATCATTCTTTTCGCATTTTACAGAGTTTTTCGATATAAAAACAATATAGGCAATAATCAAAATTTGCGAAAAGCGAGACTTTTCAATTTTTCAAAATTTAAAAAATATGATAAAAGTTTCTATTATCAAAAAATATAAAAAAAGCTATTAAAAACACTATTAAAAACATCCTATATCCTCAACAAGTGGTATATGTTATAGGTGGAGCAATAAAAGGTGTTTGGACCCCCCTGCTAACAGTCCGGAATCGAAAAAACCAAATTAATATGATTAGTATTTTTGCAGCGCGTTAACAGTGAAGCCGATGCTGCTCGGGCGCCGATCAAGCGTTTCCGGCTTCGCCAGCGCACCAAGCGAGACGAAGATGCGAACGTGTTCATCTACTACCCGATCAACCCCGCCTACAATCCCAAGTGCAGCCGGGAAGACTTTGACAAATTGGTTTGTAGTCATCTTTCCTGCTAGAGCTTTGGTTTTAGACTGCGCAAGAACTCGCCTTGGCGTCGATGAAGCTCCGTTTTGGGTGTTACGAAGGGACTTGGTGCGACGAGCAGAATGCCTTTCCTAGGTATCATTACAATCCACGTGCTGCGATCATTCACTATCCCTTTGAAGTGAAATCCTGGCCAACGACTCATTGGCCCGCATCTGCTACCCGCGCCCGCTAAAGACCTACATTCTTGGGCAGGGCAGGTACAAGCCGGTGAGTGTCGTTTTGTTGAGATATGATGAGATGACAAGTCATCCCCGAAAAATCTAGCCAAAATCCCGACAAGCCAAATCCGGACAGTGGAAATGCCGACAGTCCTACAGCGAAAGCTAAAAGCCAACTTCCCGACAACCATATTCCCGACAACCAAAACACCGACAGCCCCCGACAGTCAAAATGTGTTATTTCCGGTCGTTTTACCCATGAATGGTTATAAAATCTGAAGTTTCTGGTTGTCGGGATTTTGGCGTTTTCCCCACCCCGGAAGTATCCTGCCTTTTTCAGTGGTGTACCGAACCTCACGCCAATCCGTTTGAGCCGAAGAATGTGGCGAGCTGGGGATGTATGATACTGCCGTTCTGCAAGCTGGACCAGCCGGGAGAATTTGATGAGTGAGTCTGCTGCACAGTACACCCATTATCGGTTCTTTCGCATTATCGGGGGGGGGGACAAAAAATTTTCTTTACGCAATCGATTTTTCTTAAAAAAAACTACGGTTACGAGTAAAAAACTTAAAAAATACTGGCTACGGTTTACTTTACCCCCGGCCGGAAGTTTTTGGCTATCACTTTTTTATTTTACATTATTGTAGGCTCAAATTAAAATCTTAGTATATTTTCGACGCCCTATCAGGAATTGGCGTTGCAAAAATCCCGACAAAATAAGGCGAAAATACCGACAACTTTGAGATCCTTCGGCTGTGGGGGGGTAAAGTAAACTCTTATCTTTGAAAGTTTTTGATGGATTTTCTAGCTAAGGTATAGTTTTATTTTACTAAAACGATTTTAAAATACTTCCGATTAATTAGGCTTCGGCTTCGGCTTAGGCCTAGGCTTCGGATTCGGTTTGGCTCAGGCTTCGGCAGTTAGGCTGAGGCATGGACCTACTAGACTTGTACAAAATCCCCCCCTCCCGATAATGCGCAAGAACCCCAATACCCCCTCTTTTCTCAGGCAAAAATACCTGCGACCGGTCGGCGACAACGGAGACCTGCTGAACTGCATGGATATTTGTCCAAGGAACGAAAATGGCCGTGGATTGACGGAGAAACCGGATTGTCGACCCATCCCTAGCAATCCGGAAAAAGACTATTTCGGTGTCCTCAGCATTACGGTAGATAGCGCTTCTAATTCTTTAAAATACTCTTTACAGGAGAAGCTGGATTGGTGCGACGTGGAGAAGTCGCGTCGCCGAGACCCGTGGTCACTCAACCCACCGTGCAATCCGATCCCACAGTGTCGAGGAAATGTCGAAGGGCGGGCTGTGGGTTTTCTAGGTGTCATCTACTAGGACATGATCATCTACTAGGAGACAATTGCCGTATTTCAGCCGGATACCAGGGATTGGCGCAAGAATCTGCTCTACTACAAGAATGATGTTGCCGGTATCCCATGCGTCGTCTACAAGCAGTGCAGTGCTTTGACGGAAGAGGAGAGGAAGGAGGTGAGAGACCTGGGGATAACTTAGCTTAAGCTTAGGCTCAGAATTAGGCTTAGGCTTGCGATTAGGTTTGGGTTTAGGCTCAGGCCTGACTTAGGCTCGAGCTTAGGCTTGGCTTAACCCTAGGCTTGGCCATAGGCTTGGCGGCGGCTTAGACTCAGGCTTACGCTTGGGCTTACGCTCGCGCTTAGGCTTACGTCTAGGCCTAGGCTTAAGGAGTCCTTTTTTTGAGTCATCGGCAAAACCTTACCAGACCTAGCTCATTCGATAGAGATTCGATTCTGAACAGCCCCTTGTTTTTTTTGCGAATGGCTATCCCCGATTTTATAAAATTAAAATACTAGTGACCGTCTCTTACCATGGTGCCTTCGGCCAGGAGGCTTTTAGGGCAGTTTTGAATTTTATAAAATCAGGGATAGCCATTCTGCAAGAACAACGGGGTTTTGTTCAGAATCGAATTCTCTATCGAATGAGCTGGTCTGAAGGTTTGCCGATGACCGCACTCCTTTTAGGTTTAGCTTAGGCTTAGCTTATGCTTGGCTTAGACTTAGCTTAGGCTTAGCTTAGGCGTAGGCCTAGGGGCTTAGGCTTAGCGCTGCATATAGATAAACACGTCCTTCAGTTCCACTGCGTCGGCTCGGTCCAGACAACGAGCACCACAAAAGCCTCTACGACGACAACGGCAAAGACTACGGCAAAGACAACGACCGAGAAACCGAAAGACGGCCTGGGGGATGAGGTCATTTTGATTGCAGGTAAAATGGTTGGCGGTACTTGTTCAACGCGTTTTTTTTGTTTAGCCTTGGGTGGCGGTCTCTTGGTGTTCATCATCGTGATCATCGTCGTGCTGTGCTTCTGTCTGAAGAAGAAAGACAATGGCCCGAAGGGAAGCAAGCCGATTGTTGATGACATGGTGGGTCGATGAGAGCAGTCGGTTGGCTGTACAGGTTGTCCCAATAATCCGTCTAACGCTTCCGATTTTCACGATCTAGGTATCTATCGAAAGCTCTCGGAACGCCGAGTGCAGCACGGCTCTCAGATTTTCGAAATGCCGAATTTTGTTTGCTCGATTTTTGCCATTTTTTATGCGAAAAGGAAGCACTTTTTTGTCAAAAACTCAATCCCCCACCAAACGAAATTTTTTCGTGGTTACCTTTAAAAACTAAAAACGTAAAAAACGTCTATTTTTAACCTTCGTACTAATTTCCTGAGTGGTTGTGAGCGGTTTGAACTGCTAGAAATCGGTGTAATTGCTCAAAATCCCAAAAAATATATCCCTCCCACTAATACAATCCCTCCCGATGGTGAATGAACAAATAGAACCCCCCAGGTTTTATTAGTGGAAATACGGTATCTGTTTTGTAGATGAACGTCGGCGTCGGCACGGCTGTCGTCGACCTCGATGTGGTGCCGATCAGCAACGCCGAGGAGGGCCCATCGGAGGCTAGCACTGCAAGCACTGGCGGAAGGTGTAAGTGCTTTGCGATACTATCAGGAATGTCATCTATTTTTCAGAAGCATCCGACTACTCGTCTCCAACTACTCGATCCAACGATGGGCATCGCCATCGGTCTTCTACCACTGAAACCACTCGATGCATCACAAAAAAGCCCTTCTATAAGCCCCGCCCCTCCTCTATGCCTCGCTGTCTTTTTTTGTAAATCTAAATTTGTCCATCATTCTGTTTGCCATCGCGTGTAGTATGTACCTCTGTCCCTTCGTAATAAATCGGGTGCTTGGGCAGTCATCAAACGACACTGAACTGCTTGGCGAAGAGAACAAGGTACTTTGAGATAAGACCAAGCCTATCTGATGCAGCATTTTACGCTGATTCCGACAATGTTTTCAAAATTGCTGAATGACGATAAATGGAAAATTAGAACGTATTTTAGTAAACTACATAGCAAAAAGACCCTAACTTGAATGTCTCATCAAAATTACCAGAAAAATATTTCGGAAGGGTTAGATAGCGGGCTTTACTCAGAAAAAGATAAGTTTTCAGATAAGGCCGGCCTAAAGTTCATTAGCTTCAATGCGGAATGCTTTGTGTGAGAGCAAAATAACAGATACAATGCTTTATCGCAAAACGATAACCAAGAAAGACAAAAACAAATTATAACAGAAAACTCCGAGATCTTCCTACTTCTTTGGTCTGTAACAGGAGCACGCACGCATTATGTGGAAGCCGTCTGTACCATAGGCCATCCCGTGGTCACTAAAGACAAAGGCTCTGGGTTGAAACTAAACCGTCATGAAATACCATTGCAGAACGAAAGCTTCTTGGCTGAAAAATTGAAAACCTACTCGAAAAGCGTAATGATTTCCTTAAGGCCCAGGCGCTCATGCAAGGTGAATGTTCTTTTGTCAGAGTGGAAAGGCGCCTCGAATATCTGCAACATGCGACTAGCCTCGTGGTCGTCGTCAAAAACATTAGGATTACGCAGTGACACCCAACAGTATTCAGCTGGACGTTGATAGAGGAAATGAGCGTTGACTGAAAAAAGAATGACGAATAACCGTGGCCCGTGCGGATCTAATTTTACCATCTCTGGCAGCTGACCCAGAGGGAAGTGGGCAGACCTGGGAAAGCAGCCAGATATTAAAGTGCGTTGTGACATCTTTAGCCTACAAATATTTTGCTGGTGTCCTGAAAATGAGTCAACCTGGGCGTTCGCCTCGAAAAATACATTTCGGACGTCTACCCAGCTAGCTTTCCCGAACGACGACCGGCCATCGTCAGATAAGTCCCACCATGCAGCGAACTGAATGTGTTGCATTGGCTAGCCTAATTGTAAGTCTAATCTATGTTACCTGTTGCCGCTCGTTGGTCACCGGATCTCGGCATTCCTGGAAAATTCCCAGTGCCGGTAGTATCCCACAATCAAATTGGATCTGCAATGCGCTTGACACTTTGCCCAGTGACCCAAAGAAGTTAGTTACACCCTAACCGGTCATTTGGGCCCCGACCACAGGGTGTCTCAAAAAATATCCCCCCTCCCCTACCTAGCGGTCCGCAGTCGTGTCCGATTTTTACGATTTAGGTATCTATCGAAAGCTGTTTAAAAGACGAGGAAATAAGGAGGCATCATTTTCTTTACTATGTATTTTTATTCTCGAATTTCACCTCCAAAAACCACGAAAACGGCACCGGATCCCTATCATTATGATACACTGTATATCGGGGAGCGGTTAGAAGTCATTACCTGGGTTCTAGCATGCTTGTGATTGCCGGGCAAAGATATTTTGTTATCGTGCATGTTCTTGATGCTGAACTCTCCTTTTTCGAACGCGAAGATGAGGACGCTGAAAACACTATCTGTGTGAAAGCGACTGATGATGCCTTCTGCAGCGAATGGGTGCGCCACTATACAGTGTGAGTCAAAACGATAGAGCCATCTCTTTGAACGCTATTATCTCGGTCCTCGTGGAGTTTGACGCCAAGCTAACTAGCAGATCTTGTAGCGCTCGAAAAGGCGCATTTTTCGGCGCTATTTCGGAATAGGGGACCCACTTTTATTGTACCAAAACTGGGGTTTGTGCGATGCTTTCTTGGATAGTTTTGTGCGCTGGTTCCGAGAAAAACACCATACTAACTTTAAAACCTAACATTTTCACACAAAAAAATTGATTGCAGTTTAATGGGCTTCTAGGGAGCCTAGCGGCGCAGGCCCAACTGTCGGCTACCATACACTCCTAGCGGTTTTTCAAGCTCAAAACGCATGCATAAATGATGCTAAATGCTAGTAAGCCCGATCTTAGATTCATTGAGACCAAGCCTAGGCCAGCCAGATGAATCTGACAGAAGTCAAGCTCAAGCCGAAAAATATAATAACCCAAGCGGGTTGCCTCACAATTGTGCTGGCTAAGCCAAGACCGCCCGTGCTGTCATGTAAACATCCTATAAAGATAAAATATTTTGTACAAATGTGCGTTTTTACGGGCTGGGATACCGTTTTTCAGCACAAGCGCACAAAATTACACCAGAAAAAGTGGTTTTTAGAGTAATCAAAGTGGGTCCCCTATTCCGAAATAGCGCCCATTTTTCCATCTACTTAAAGTTTTTCAAAAATCTAGCACGCGATTTTTATAAGGAAAAGAACAAATAGAGCCAAAAAAACAGAAGTGTCAAAACGATAGAGCCACACTTACATATCATCAGCATCAGGTTTGAGCTTGCAAATTACATTCTAATGAACATTCAAAGTGACTTCCGATTTCTGACTTCCGGGTTTTTCACGGTGATGCCAATCTGCATAGATTTGAACTTCGTATTAGCAATTAGCATGTAACCAGGGTTGAAAAGCCGCATCGCGACTTTTCAACCCTGGCTCCGTCCAACCCCATCAGATTCTTCACTCTGCATACGTCTTTCGATTTCCGATGAGAAAAATGAAAAATTCCACTCTCGTGTGAAATGAAAAAAATCGCGTGCTATATTTTTGAAAAGCTTCAAGTGGATGGAAAAATGCGCCTTTTCGAGCGCTACAAGACCTGCTAGTTAGCTTGGCGTCAAACTCAACGAGGGCCTAGATAATAGCGTTCAAAGGAGTGGCTCTATCCCTTGACACACACTGTAGTGCAAGATGCTCACCCGTGATAGTAATCCGTTTGTCCGTCTTGCTGAAGTTTTTCGCACCAGCAAGCCACGCGGTCCTGGAGGCCATTATACGACACGCGTCCTCGAATTATTGTTTTGGCTACCATGTTTCCTGCACAAATCTGGCGGTCTTCAGGATGATCGGAAGGGTAAATCTCTGCCCACGTAACTCTGGCGGTGACATCAACTGCGGGAAAGTAGTTCCCTCGGTAGTGGGAGCCATGAATATGGAGATCTAGCCATTCGAAGCCTTCGCTCGAGACGAGCACGAGCAGCGTCCTTATTGCAGGTCTACCATTGACTGGCACAATATATGGCTTGAAAGCGACATGTTGTCGAAGGAGAAACCAATTAGCAACCTTAATGAAAGCGCCGTCGTAGTATTCCATGGCAAATGTGTGGTGGCCAGCATTCACCAGAGTTTCTGAAATGGCCTGGATTTGATTCTGAAATCGCGGATGATTGCCATCACGACATCTCATGTTCCGGAATGACCATACCTAATACCAGGACCTTTTCCAACAAGGTACTATGAGGAAAAGTTTTGATGGTCTCTAGTTTTTTATTCAAACTCTAAATTCATAAAGTGAATTTGGCTGCTCGGTCCGCGTACTGTTTTGCCGGACTTTTAGCACCTGCCGTGACCTTGCATGCGAAAGTGTTGACCATTTCAAGACCTTGAAACTGTCCCTGTAACGACTAACACTACCTGTCGTAGGATCGTAAAACAAGATCACAACCGATTTTCCCAATGCGGCAATCGAAAAATCCATTAAAAAAGATATTTTAAATGAACTCACTAGTGTAAGGCCATATTCCTGGACGTGATATGCTATAAACTTGCGGACTTTCTGTTGAATGATCGGTCGTTGGAGCGGGGGCGTGTTGTGGATAAATTCGCCGTAAGCAGCCTGCTAGTGAAAATCATGGCTGTTAAAATCTTACGGTGAAATCTTCGTTTACGCCGTAGAATGTGCGTACGCCACAGTAATCGTCTGGTGATTTCGCCGCAACTCTTCTAAATTTTACCAACCATAATAATTTTTTTTGAAGCCGAATTCAACTCCAAGGGCAAAGGAGCTAGAGCTTAGTTAGGTCTTTTGGAGTCGGATAAAGCGTGGTCAGAAACCCCCCAAAATGATTAAGAACAGAATCTAAAAACTTCATTTTCATCTGTTTTGCACAATCGATTTTTGTAATTTGTTAGTCAAAACGATTATTTGAACGATTTTGGGCATAGTGAGCCAGGTCGCGTGCGTTTCGGCGATGGGGAGGGAGCGCGGCGATTGTAAACGGCGGGTTGTCTAAAAAACGTGCTTTCAGTTAATTTTAGCTTGGAAAAACCATTTTCTGCTTTAGCGCAATCGAAGATTTGGCTTTGTTCTTTCAAGGTTTTTTTGAGTCCTCAATGTCCCCAACCTCAATAAAAGCATACTCACAACCCAAACATCCGCTCCTTGAATTCAAAGCTTCTCTGGTAATCCTTGACCGAAGCGAACACCAAGTGTTCTTTTTCGGCGTCATACAACACCACAGAAATTGCCTGCAAAAAAGGTGAATCCCGGCTCTGAAGTTACAAACCCGTCTGCAATACGGATTCAGACCACGTCCATAGCCAAATACCTAAAAATTAGCTTAATTAGTTACGATGACGATTCTACCACATTCCCATGAATCCCCGCAGGGACGAAGGCTTCCGCACGGAACATCTGATCAATTTTGGTCCAACGTTGTGGCGTGAAATTAAAACTTCCTGTCGCTTCGATATGGTTTCTGGGCATAAACTTACTGTTTGTCAAGGTACATTTGTATGTCACAACGGTCGCGTTACCAAGCAATAGCGTCAGCACCTGGTTAAGAGGGTTGTAACATAAATCCACGACATTGGAGTGTCTACTAAATGATGAAATGATAATGATTGTCCAAGAGGAAAAAACCAGTGGGCAAATTGGGTTCATTGTTTTTTGTTTTGCTTAACCTTAGAATTTACAGGCAAGCCCAAAGAAGCGTGCTCCACATTCGAGCCGTTGTGATGTTCCTTTCTTGGAACCTTATGTGAGTGACAACCAGGGGCGTAGCCAGAAAAAAATTTCGGGGGGGCCCCAAAAAATTTTTCCAAAAAACTCAAAAGATGAACGAGAAAACAACGCCGCAGGCAAAAATTTTTGAAAAAAGGTTACATAGCTCTACAAATAGCCGTAAAAACGTGAAAAAATAGCGCCGCAGGCAGCAAAATTTTCGAGAAAATTAAAATCATAAGGGACCCCCATATGAAATTTTCGGGCCCCGGCGGATTTCGGGGGCGGGCCCCCGGGGCCGGTATTACGCTACGTCCCTGGTGACAACCATTACATAAATTAGTAGATTAGTTGAGTTAGGTTGTCGATAAGGTCCGTGTTCTGGAGCGTAAGGCTAGACTCTAGTGGCCAGCCCCTATTGCGCGCCGTTATGACCGTATCCCCGCTTGCCGGCAGCGGTAGGTTAATGCCGTAGGAGTCCCCGTTCTTTGGGATTTCGCCAACGATTTTTTCGTCCTAATTTTACGTTACACGTCTGCCGTTTTACCATAAAAACTTTTGTTGTTTATTTGATAGGCGAACTGCAAGGCAAGCTCATGCTCCTTAGGCCACTTTGAAACTCAACAGACGGCAACGCCATGTGTTGTGTTTCACTTGTTGCAGTTTTTACGTGGACACATTCTCACCTATGGCTCGTTTCGCGGCCGCAGAATGTCAGCGTTCGTATGAAATCGACCTTTTTCTTTCCACCAAGTTCCCAACAGAAAATGCCATGGCTAAACGATCCGATACCAATGCCTTTGTAGGAACATACCCCCAAGCAACCAGGACGCACTGTACAGTTTCCGTGGTTCGAGTTCCGGCCTTTATCAATCGGACCACGTGGTCATTCTCATGTTTTCGTTTTACGATGGTGGTTGTGGGGAGGCGGATTTGCGTTTCAAGGGCTTGATTCGGGATCAGGTCCCAATGCTAAAAGATATTACCCTCGTCTAGTACGTGGTCAAAACGTGCTACCTTTAATACATATCCAGAGACGTCGTGTCGTCTGGCGAAGATTGATGGGTACTTGTAGAGAGCCTCATGGGTTTGATGAGGGGAAATGTTCGGCAGGCCGGCACTTAAGATCGGGATACTTTAAAAATGGAACCAAGGTTGAAATGGTAAAAATAAAATGGTCTCCCCTCAAAGGGCGTCTTTTAGCAAACTAAGCAATCCAATAGCGGGACCAATTTTGCAATGCTGTCAGCTTGTGAGAGGTGAGTTTTTTCTTTTGTTACTGGGTACTTACACCGGTTTCACCTCGTCGAAATAGTGCACGGCCGGCATGCTATACGTCCAACCGGGTTCGTAAACTATAGCGGGATCATCTATGGGCTCTAAGCTGTAGGCTAAACGTTACAGCTAAAGATCCTTTGGATACAGAGCAAAACTCACGTAATTCATTGTCTGGCACCAGTTTTGGGAGTAGCGCCCCGATATGCAGCACTCCTAATCTCAACAAATACACGAAACTGCGCTGTAGCGGATTATAATGGAGCACCCGCTCGGCGCTCAGAGGCTTGTGCCGACTCACAACGGCGACAAATGTGTCGGCACCTTCCATAAAGCTAAAATCAAATTAGCAAAAATGGAAGAGTAGCTAAAAGCCGAATACAAGGAAGATCCGAGTATTAAAATTTACCCGGTGAACGGGCACGGGTGCGGGAGGTCTTGGACCAGTAACTGAAAACGGTTTTTTTGTTCTTAAAGTCTTTGTTTCGTGTTTCTCGCAAGATAAGCCAGGTTTTCCAGCCGGGTACTTACATCAAATTTTGCTTTTGCCGGATTCACCAGCTCATATCCAAACATATCGTCAACACGATGTTTGCTTGGCTTTATCAAGCCCAATCCACCATAAGTCCCGCCAATTGGCTTAAAAGCACATCTTAGAAAAGTTGAATCATGATGAAACCTTAGCAATGTGTGATCGACACTCCATGGAGTGGATGCGCCCGACCGCTGGTGTCAGCATCCGCGCCAGAGTTAATTTATCAGATTTTACGACGTAATGTAAGACGGTATCTAAAAGAAATAAAAAACCATCCTGATTCTCGCATTACCATTTACACTGACGTAGTATCCTGCGTTAAGCGAATCATTTCCGGTGGCGTAGCTGAGATGACGATTCGGTGTCCGAGCATCGCCCTCCGCATCGTAGATTTTTGCTTCGCACATCTGTAAAATGCATATTTTCCCTGTAACCTCCTAGCGGAAATGAGCAGTCAAGTTTTAGCCTTTTAACGGCTTTCAACCATAGAAAATTTCGAAGAATGCCATGCCCACCTTTCCGTTTTCCACATTGATATATACAAGGGTCTCCGTTGTGGCGAGCAGTAACTGGTCCTGACAAAGTATCATGTCCCAACCATCAACCAAAGTATTTTTCGGCTAAACGTGCATGGTTTAATGCGCAAAATTACGAACCGGCTTCCAGGGAAAGTTTTTCGGCGTGGACTGTTGGGGCGGCCTATAAACAACCACTTCCTCCGTGCCTTCAATATAATAGGCGAACGCTGGATGGTCTGAGCAAGCCACACTTCGCTTTGATGATTTACTAGATGTACCGGTTCAGCAAATATAAAAGAGACCTACGATTCGGGTGGCAATTTTGCTGTCAGCGTCAGAACACGCTCATACGTAGCGTCAAGAAATTTTTTGATGCGGAAGGTCGCGGGGCCGCTGAGCTGAAAGTACGTTAGATCACTTTCAAACCTTTTATCTTCGTAAGCATGGGCTTCTCGCCCTTCTTATTTTTTTGCATTTGTAGGTGATACCTTATGATGCGGAATATCAAAAAAATGCCTATTTCCAATTTTTTACAAAATACTAACCAGCAGCTGATCACCAGCAATTTCAAAGCGTGCATTGACTGGTGGATCATAGTATCCCGCCAAAGCCGGCACCCAATCGACAACTTCCGTGCACGGAATTACTGGATGGCCACTAAAAATCGATTCTTGAACTTTTACCCCTCCAACTCCACGGCTTTCATACTCCACCTACCCTCCTAGATTGTCAATAAACAGCTGCAGTTTACGAAGCACGACATACTTCAAATGACGAGAGACGACGACCAATATCGGGTCTAAAGGCATACAAAATTCATTCGTAGTGCGTTACCGGATTTCTTGCCGACTGCAAGAATCTGCCTGACCTCGCACCCATCATCAAAAATCTTCACCAAGTTTTGGCGCGAGACGTGCGGCGGCAGAGCCCCGTCGTCCTCGGCTTTATGAAACTCGATAAAATGGCCGACACCTAGATGCGTTAAGATATATCAATTTAGAAGTATATATTACCAGAAACAATATAGACACCCTGTCGTCCCATATCCAAAGTGCAGACGGCGGTTCGTGGCAAGAGACATGGTGGGAACCTTGCAGTTGCCATTTTTCTGAAATGTCTTGTTATTTTTGGATCTGCCTTTGGCTTCAAAAAATTTACTTCATGGTTTGGTGTAATTCCCATAATTGTGCTTCTAAAAATTGGTAAAAACACAAAAGGACTTGTGTTTCTCGGGGGTTTTTTTATGCTAAACAGGGCCGAGAAAATTGGTTCCCACCTAAATATATGATAACAAACAAATGCAAATTAAATAAATTACTGAAAAGCTGTTCAGATCCTTTAAACCCTAAAAAAGGCTGGCAAAGTTTGCTGAAAGCACAAAAGCAACAGGATTGTCTTGTTGCAGCACGCCCTGTCGTTTACGTTATCTAAAAAATATTGACCGGCTGGTGGGTGACGGGGCACGCCCGTCGGATTTTCCCCGTGTGAGTGCAGACTGGTATAATGCGTGAAGCAATTTTTAGGTAAGCTTCTGGGTAGCACACGATCGACCTACACTTGGCGAAAACGACTCTGAAAACCTCCGTTGCTGCAATTTCTCATGTGCAGGATGACAAACAGATTTAACTCAAGCCTGTATTTTCAGCATTGTTTCTCTTTTTGCATAACCTGAAAGGTACTCCGCCTTCTCCACCAGGACCTGTCAAGTCAAGGATAAGTGTTTGCATGGCGAACTGCTTACGCCAGGAAAATTTTTATCGATCAAAATCTTGGCGGTCCCCGGTGAGCCGCTCACCGCCCAAAGCGTCCCAGATTCATTAGATTCCAAAGTGTCCCAACTTTGTCCTACACTTCTTTGGAGGCAGCGCCAGGCCGATTTGACAAAATTTTGAATTTGAAGAGAAACGAACCAGGTTGAAGCGAGTTATCAACCGAGACAAGTTAATTTATGCAAAATTTTCCCCAAAAATTGTCGCGGAAAAACGCTTCGGTTTGCTCGTTTGCCGGGGAGGTGATAAGCCAAGACGCAGGCCCCCGGTGTGAAAGTTTGTCGGTTATTGATCGAAATGTGAGTCAGCGGTGGTTATGAAATTTATTCATTAAGCAGATTTAGGGATGAAGCAGAGTTCGAGCATCTTGTTTCTTCGTCCTTAGTTTTTTCCAGGGCAGCTTGCGCCTTCTTCCACTTTTCACGGAGGTGAAGCCGGTGCAAAGCTTCTTTCTTTTGGTTAACCCTTGACTTTTTCTATAACACAATTTTCCAAAACCTGCTTTTCAAAACCAACTTTGATCTTCTCTACCACCCTTCGTTGGCAGTGTTCGAGTCGAATTTTTTCTAGGCGATAGGTTGTTGCAGCCGCATCAGCCTAACGAGTATTATTTTTCAAATTTGTTCTTACCTTTGCCTGCGCTGTGGTTGCAAGGTGCTGTAGGTTCTCAGCCCTATCTCGCAGCGTATCCAAATATATTTCATCCGTCTTCTTCTGGACCTTGAGTTTTTCAGTGGCAGGGTCTTCTTCCCGCAGCAACACTTCTTCCACCAGAGTCTCATCGATATCGATAGAAGGTGTATCGTCATCCAATGAAACTTCAATTTCCTGCTTGACATCCATGTTGTAGAAATAAAATAGGTCCGGAGTAAATGAGTCGGGTTTCCAATGAGTCCTCGGCTTATCAATAGGCACTCACACGGGCTGTTTTCCCCCAGAGTAAATGACGAAAACCAACGCAAAACTAGCAACTGTCTACTACGATCCGAAAACCGGGTACTGCGGAATTAATGAAATACAGAGACAAACAAAGGCACCAATCAAAAAAAAAAAAAGAATTTTTGAAACAACAAGATGTATACACCTTTCACAAGCCGGATAGGAAAAATTTCAAGAGAGAAAGGGTAGACAATGCATAAATCGATCATCTGGTAGCCAATGGTACCATTCCTCTACACAAAATTATCTTCATTTTTTTCCCTACGGTAACCTTGAGCTTGGCTCTTGAAGCTGCTGGAAAGTCGTGAATTACAAAGATAAATTTCTGGATATAACTATCTTCGAAACGTGGTGTCTCCTCTAGCGGTTGTCGACGTTAAGGCGCTGGCCTATACGACCGGGCGACGGACGCAAGGCCAAGATTCATAAGTGCAGCTCCCGGTGATCTGCGATCTGCCAAGGCCTTCCCGAAGCTAATGATAACATTTTGCCGCATTAGATTACCTAACAAAATCATGAAAATTTATAGCAACGGCTAATAATCATAAGTAAACAAATGTTTCAATATATAGGTAGCAGGCGCGAATAACCCCCAACTATTGGAGATGAGGTGGAAAAACTTAAATTGTCCCAGAATGTTGTCTTACAAGCATTTTTTGTGCTAAATCTTGTAAGGTAAACCAGTACCGCAGAAAATCTCAATCCACTGTTTGATTTCGTAAGTAATAAATCCATAAGATTTAAGCGAGCTTTCATCCGTTTCTTAGCAAAATGTAATAACTGGGCAGAAAGTGGTTGGAGCTAATTAAAGCAACGCAATTAAAATCAAAGTAACAAAGTAAACCTGCAGACCCTGGTGTCCAGCTATAAATCATTTTGCTAATTATCATTCGACATAATATGGCTGTAATAATGAAATTTTCAATTGGTGAGTCATTTCACATGTGCTAAATTACTCTTTTACCTTTAGCAACATGCTCAATGGCTCACCAGACTCTGACGGCATTTTGCAAGTAAATTTTGCTGACCTGACCTGTGTATTGTATAAATTACTAACTCGGAAGAACTATGATCATCTCATGAAAATTTGTTCTATATTATTATTAGCCGTTGCTATGATTCATGACTCTGTAGGAATATCGGATGTAGCTGCCGAGGCCTGCACAGCGCAGTGGCACTGGGGAGTCACTTTTGATCTTGGCCTCCTGTCCTCTACGACCAGCCGCTTACGCCACAAAAATCGGGATCGATCAAAATCTTGGCGGTCCCCCGGTGAGCGCCTTTCGCCTGTGCGGGGGACCTGTTTTGGAGTCTTGCCAGCCGCGATCAGCATCGCCGAAAATAATGGGGTAACTGTTTTCGGCTCTTGAGATTGAGTGTACAAGAAATCCTTTGGTTTGAAAAATTTAATTTTGGCTTTTTGCTTAGGTTTGCACCGGCACTTAGTAGATGTTTTCACAAACTACCAATCCTTCTATTTTGATGTCTCTCACCTGATTCCAGGCCTCGTGGGCCCCCGAAAATGCGGAAAATATTTGAGTGCAGACCCTGGCGGCTTATCGCAGGATCGTAAAAACCTTTGAAGGTGGCTCAAAAACGGCTTTCCCGGTGTCAAAATGGTCCCAGCTTTTATGACTTTTTGGTTCCTAGTTTTATAGCTTGTAATTGGAGTAGTCTGCTGCTTTGCGGGATATCTCGCTATTTTTCAGGATTTTATAGTACTCATAAATTCCCCCGATTTTTCCGCTTTCGAAATTCATAAATCTTTCGCAACCTTTATTGGCGTTGACAAAAATTTTCATTAATAAAAATTTTTCTAAACGCAATTAGAACGTTAAGTAATCCTGGCAGCTACTAGCTAGTTTTTCTAAGCTGCAAAAACTAGGTAAATTCGGATTTTTGGTGCCCTAGACCAGCTTGTGAGTAGAGCCTAGAAACGTACCTGAGCTACGAAACGCAAATTCTTGATGCCAATGGTTTTATAGCTAATTAATCGCCATGCTAGTCAGCCTATGACGACCCCAACTTTTACAGTCTTTTTTGGTCTCTCCCCGCTCCCGTTATCTGACACCTCTTCTAACCGATTACGCCGCTTCGGGCGGTGACGGCGGAGGCGCATTCGCAATGCTCGGGTCATTTCCGTTCGGCTTATAGTTGATAGCTTTTAGTCTAGTTTAAAGGAACCAGGAAGCGTGAAATTCGACTCTTTGGCGCGATTGGGTGTCGACAGCTACGCGCCACCACTTCCCAATGCGCATCAAAAATGTCCGTTTTTGACGCCTTTCTACAAAAACTACCACTGAAAAATGCAAGCTTTTTGATTCAGATATAGATTTCTTTAAAGATTTTTATCTATACTTTTATAGATGCTTATAAGAATACATCGCAAAATTTCTCCATTTTTTATTAGTTAAATCGTCGTTACTTGGGAAAGACCTAATTTTCAAGAAGTTATGTTGACGTTACGTTGGCGCTTACCAGTCCCTTTAAAAATACTTTTAACGACAAACCGGAGATATTTCGGGTATTTTCACGCTTAAATCACAGGTATCCATGCCATGGTCCACCGGGAAAATGACCCAATCCATTTTTCATGACATTTCCCCATACCTCTTCCCCCCCCCCATTCACGAAAATCAACACCCTTCCCCCGTTTTTCCGGGATTGTTTTTCGTTGCCATGGCACGGGCGATTTTTGATGGCTATTTCCGGGCTTTAGCTGACCGGGACGACACGGCCTAGTCATTTAAGAAAATGCACTTTGTCAGCATCCCTCTCTTTTACTTTGATGAAATTATTTAGATTTTTTTTATTGAAAAATCAGGCCAGAGCAGACGTATTTATTCATTTATGCACAGCAATCACGCCATGAATTTTACGTTGATAACTTTTCACCTGTTTACGGCAATTGATATCCCCTTTTTGAAAATCTGTACGTTGCTTCCTGTTTTTCTGTTAAAATTGCCGCTTGAAATTATTGTAATGGCCTTTTCCTGTGCTTGGATTGGACTTAAACTAAAAACTTAACTGGCGTTTTCCCATTGTCTAGGTTTATCTATCTAATTCTCGCGTCCGTCTCCCTCTCCCCCCTCTCTCTCTCTCTCCCCCCCCCCCCCCCCCCCCTCTCTCTCTCTCTCCCTCTCTCTCTTTCTCTTTCTCTCTCACTCTCTCTCTCTCCCTCTCTCTCTCTCTCTCTCTCTCCTCTCTCTCCTCGCTGATTCCGAACGCTCCAATGTCTGTTCCCGACAGCCGAGCAGTCCATTTGTCATTTATCTTCTCCCGTCTCCTGTTTGGTGTGCGACGTAGCGCTCGACGACGCCTCCAACATCCCCCGAA